GTAATGTGTGGGTAGATAGTGAGTGATTGAACTGCGGTCAGAAGTATTATTGACGTTCGTTTGTTTAGCGCGATTGTTGAGTTCAGTGTATCGGTAAAGTTATATTCGGAAAGAATAAACCAGTTTTATTAAGTAAAGACTTGTGTCGCGTAAGTTTCGTCGGAACGAAGTTACGGAAAAATCAATTAACGAAACGGAGACGTAACAATACAAAATTAAATCCCATCAAAATATAGCAAAAATATCAATCCTCTTAGTATACAAAGTAATATATCTTATTCCTGTATACTATATTATGTTAAAACTGTTAAACTTTCGCATTTCACGAAGGTTAACTAGAGGTGGAATATGTTGACGTGAACAAAATCGGATGCGTTTCGCTTGTTCGGTATGAAACAAGAACATACTTTTGTCTTTTCGTTAAATCAATTTCTTTGATTTCTGTTCGAGTAAAAATGACTTACGGCGATTCGGGAATGCTGTTGATTGTGTTTTCTGATGGAATTTGTGAATTAGAAAGTTTCAGACAATATTTATATTGACCAATCAATGGGAAAGTGTGCTTCCTAATTAAATAATAATCCTCACCATGTACATCTAGATTTTACTTACATTTTTATTCGAAGTTGCGTTTATTGTATTACCAGCATTACTAGTACAGATTGTCATTTATTTCTAATATCAGAAAATGGCGAATATGGAGTACTTCCGGGGTGCCACAACGTTGGAACATATTTGTTTGTTTGCTGTTAAACGCAAAGCTAGATCTGAAAAAGAGAGACTATTGTTTTGTCGAAACATGTATGTTCCCAAAAATAAAACACTTCATTGTGCTTATAAATCGTTGTTTGCTGATTTTACTACTATGCTGGTATAATGTGCTTCAATACTCAAGTACAAAACTACACAATTGGCTATCTGTGTTGTGCCCACCGCGAGTATCGAAACACAATTTTTAGCGCTATAAGCCTTCAGAATTACTGCTGAGCCACCGGGGAAGTCCATGTTGGAACACTTTGTAAATGCTTGTATAGCAGACAGGGATGTTCGACCGAAAAAGCAGAACACATTCCAGAACGCGAAAGTGAAACAGTTTCGCCAAATCAAATTATCAAGGTTCGTTCCGTATAAGAGTCTCTCGTCGGATCAGCGGAAAGTTTACGGACTTGCAATGCTAAAAATCTGGAATAAATTTACCGCAGTAGATAGAGCGCAAATATCCTATTTTGTAACTTTGCGTTAAAACTAACGAACCGTCTCAAAAATTACGTTTTAACATAAAAACTTTTCAAAGAAGTGTAGATCCCAAAGTCTTTTCTGGCCAACCTAGTGTTTTTCAACACTTCATACAACGTCATTGGAGAAGGCATCTATCGACGCTGGAATAATTTTAATAATGGGATTTCTGAAACCATTGAACAAAATCGAAACCCTTACATATGATGGGAATAAACATCCCAGATAACACATGACGTTTCTTCAACGTTGCTGAATAGTTGTGCTTTGGTAAAATTGACAACGTCATGCATTATATTGTTACGTCTCCGTTCGTTAATTGATTTTCCGTAAATTCGTTCCGACGAAACTTTAGCGACACAAGTCCTTTCTTAAATAAAACTGGTTTATTCTTTCCGAATACAACTTTACGATACACTCAACTTCAACAGTCGCTCTGTAACAAACGCTATAATTCTCATGTGCTCGTGCTCGACAATACTCAGTTCAATTACTCACTACTGACACACATTGTCACGTCACGCCGTGACCATCTTATAT